TGTTGTGCTCCCCACTCTCTCTCTGTTGAATCCTCTCACCCTCTGCATCTCTGACCTGTACCCCAGTTCTGTACAAATAAATAAATAAATCTTTAAAAAAAAATAATGCCCTGTGAAAATGTAAAGTATCTCTTGTCCTAGGCACAAAACCAAAAATCAGTGCACTTATTGAACAAGGAGTATATGCAAGACTGAGAGTGGAAGGTGTTCCTGAAGATACCCTCCAGCCATCTCCCCTCTGGTTTAGATACCCCCTCATGTCACCTCTTCTCTAGGAAAGTGGAATGGATCCAGTTTATTGCTGTAAAATAGTGGAATATAGGTAAAGTGATGGCACATCACTTCTGCTTTCTGGTAATTTTCTCCCTACTTCTCTGGAAGCTTCATGAAGCCTACCTGAGTTGGTTACATTCATCACTGTGTCCTCAACAACTTGCATAGTGCCTGGCACACAGTAGCTGTTAAATAAACATTTATTGTACTGAAGTTTATCACCCATTACTAAGGTAGAAGAAAACTCAACATTCTCCAAATTGCAGCTACATGAAAAATATAAAGGAGTTTCATTAAATCTGTCTTTCCTTCTTTCATTGAGCATTTTCAGCAAATGCTACTTTGGGCCTCTTAGGTGTTGGTGAATGTGCAAGGCACTGAATCCAAGCAGATTGTGAGAATGGATCTCACAGTATAGAGGGAAAGGCAAATATGATGGAATTGTAATAACCATAAGGAAGTGATAGAATATCAATTTGCAGGAGAGTGCTTGGGCCTTAAATCTCCATGTTGGTTAAAGATGTTGAAGCAGTGATAGAAAGGATGATGAGTGGTTTATATGGCAGGGTGGAGTGTTAGAGAAGTGCTTGCATAAAGGTTTGGAGATGTAAGGTAACAGATTGCCTTTTAAAGCTGCCAAGCCCCTCAATATGGGTGGACCCAGGGAGATGACACAGGAAGACTTAGTACATACTAAGGAATGTAAATCTTATTCTATAGGCAACAGGGAAACTGGGACAGATTTGAAGCAAAGAAATCTGATTTGACTGACTGGCTCTCCACAATGCCTTAAAGAATGGAAAAATCAAAGGAAAAGAGAACTGTTGAAATGTGCTGTCTCAGTAGTTGATGCAAGAGATGACAGAAGTCTGTATGGGAAGACAGGAGGGTTGGGTGTAGGCTGAGCAATTTCAGTGGTAAAGGGTGGAACAGGTGAGGATACCTAGTTTAAAAGTGAAAAGACAAGTTCCATTTCCAAAGAAGCTGAGTCTCTGAAGCAAAAAGGAGTCAACACATTCAAAGATTAAAAAAAAAAAAGCTCACATAAACAAACAAATCATAATTTATATCAAAGGAATCATAAAACATAGGAACATAAATAAAGCAAGGTGAAAAACATTGCAATAGTTAAGATGATGAAGGCAAACATTTGGTTGCTCAATTAAAATGCAAAAACATAGCTAGAATGGAAAAAGAAATCCACTTATCTGCTTTTAGAGAACATCTAAAACAAAATAATACATATGTGAGGTGAAAATCTCAATAAATTCCCAAAAGTAATAATTGTACCAAACATAACACAGAAAACCTAGAAATAAATTTGTTTAATGTTCAAACTACTACAAGAAAAAACTAAGTACTGGAGATTGAAAAATGAATTCAGAACAGAGAATAAAAGAGGCAAACAGAATGGGAGAACTCCAGATGTCAAAACATGTGCAATGAGGACAACACTGCACATAGAAACAGCAAGAGTCTATATTATTTAATTACCAAAAAGGAATAGAGTGTAATAGCCTAACAAAGCAAGAACTGAAGTATTTTTTCATATTAAATTATAGTGAGAAAATAATGAAATGTTTAAAAGGGCAAAAACTAGGAAGACCTACAGCTCCAACCAAAGGAACAATCTATTTAAGCTCTTAGAAATAATGAGGTTGATGTGTTTATTGCTATGAAGATATTCACACCATTTTGCTCACTGATACACCAGGCAGGGTGTACGCACTTCACAATATATATAGGCTCATTTATGCTCATAGTGAAGCTATGTACTAATTCTGTTACTTTCCCCATTTTATGAGTCAGGAGTCAGGAAAAAAGGAAGTTAAGAAATTTGCCCAAGGTCACACAGAGATTCAGTGGCAGAGCTCTAGAGGAAGGTAGCATCAAAATGTTAATAGCAATTGTTTGAGTAATGGGATTATAGGTATCTTTCTGTTAATTTTGTTTCAAGCTATCCATATCTTCAGTTTTTCTATTATGGACATGTATTTATTATCTGTTAAATAAAGAAATAAAAGGGTTTTTTAAAAATATGGAAGCTAGATATTTAACTCAGAAACAAGAAAATAAAGACAAACCTGAGAGGTAGGTGTTTGAAAAACAGCAATAAAATAGCTGTCTCACAGTTTTGAGAAATAAATATTTAAATAATCAGAATTAAAATGAGAAATAGAACTAAAATAGATATTAAATTAGAATGTTTATATTTAAAAACATCAATAAAGTGAAAGAGGTAAAATTAACTCTGATATAGTTATAAAAACTTGAATATGGATTTGGAAGTGTTAAAGATGTAACTATTTTAAAAGTTTGAAACCCAAGATAGCTTTATGAAGGATTTTCAACTTATAAACATAGAAATCTACATGTCATATAATTTATTAATTCATTTAATAATTATACCTTATAAGTAAGGTATAATCATGCATTTAAAAGTGGATATAAGCATGCTATAGAAAATACTGTTCTAATTCAGTAATAAATCAAAAGATACTTAACAATAACTCAGTTAGTTATTATTCCTAGCATACAATGATGGCTTGTTATTAATATTATTACCATTGATATTACAATATTAATAAATTCAGTAGATTACAGTCAATAGATCAAAGAGAAAAGATACTATGAATGTGCATTTAATGGGTGTTGGAGAAGTATTTGTTACATTCAAATTCTATCCAGGTCTAAAAACTGATAAATAAATGAAAACTTTTGTAATGTGATAAGGATTACCAGTCTAAAACAAATTGTTATCACCGGCACACCAGCCTCCAGTGACTAAAGCTATTCCTAGTAAAATAAGGAAGAAGGAGATAAGGATTCACAGAATCACTTGTTGAGCAGAAGACATAGGCCATTCCAAAACCACCCTCCACCTCCTGTCCTTCAGGGCTGGGACTAGGGCACGACAAACAAAGTTCTAGAAGGAAAATGTAGGGCTTCACTCTTGGAGTTGTGAGAGTTCAAGGTAGACACCCACATGACTCTGATAATGAGTGCTGATAATGTGGGTGCTTTCTCCTGGCTCAGCCTAGTCTCAGCAGGGTTCTTGACTCTCTCCAGCATGTCCTGCTAGCCTTTCCTCCCAGCAAGTACAAGCCTGCCATGCTGGTCACCCCAGGAACTCTTAATTCCTCAGGAGGAAGGTAAATAGCAGCCACCTACCTGTGCTCAATTTCTCAGCTTCCCAACTGTTCTTACTGATCTAGTCGACAGAAACCTATTGAACCCTTTACTATTATTTCCAAAGAAATGAACTTTACAAATGTCCTCTACAAAATCCCCAAATATCAGATCTTTTTATTCACACAGCATAGATGAGAAAATGAAAAGGTAGAAAGTTTTGTAGATGTTTGTTAGGTAGTACATATTATTTTATGGGGTCAGACAAAACTGTTTTTTGAAACTATATTGTCAACTGTTCTCTCTAGTTCAAAATACTTTAAGAGTAATGTAAAATAAGGTATGTGGTGGAAAATTAATATAAAACTACAACATAAATATCAACCATTATTAGTTACAATTTCCCTTTATCTAAATGTATTACAGGCAAATAATTAATTATATGTTATCAGGATGAAGAATATTATAAGATAAAAAATTAATTTTGCAGTAATAGAAAAAAGTATCCAGAGCTTTGGTAAAGCTGGTTAAACAGAGCTGCAATATTTGATGCTGTTTAATGTTTATAAGACTACACCTGACGGCCTATGCACAGACACTATCTTTCTCTGTGTTCAAAGCCATAAAACTGACATCAAGCAGCCCACGGTAGTATGTTCCATGCCATTTTGATCTTTGCGAGGCAAGTTTTTGCTACTGAGTGTTTTTCTCAAAATGCATATGAACTTCATCATACTGAAGGCTTCATCTATGGGATCTTTTCATAGACAAAAATAAGAGGTTTCTGAAATTCAACTATTTTGCATAAGACAAAGGTAGATCTACTACACATATAAATAATCTATTTTATAGTCAAGTGTACCTGATATTCAAAAATAAAGACAAAATCTTAAAGAAAACAGAATCCTATATCTGCAATAAATTTCTGCCTAAAGTATCACTGAGTTTTATTTATTTATTTATTTTAAAATATTTATTTATTTATTTATTCATACAGAACTGGGGTACAGGCCAGAGATGCAGAGGGTGAGAGGATTCACCAGATACAGAACAGGCAGATCTACGAAGTACACTGCTGAGGGGAGCAGCGGGCGGGTCAGGAGAGGTCTGCTTAGCCATGTGGATCTCCTCCAGGGCAGGCGGGGATCGAACTCATGTGGAAGTGGCTTAAGCTTCTTAGTGCAGTGCTTTAACCCACTGCGCCACCAGGGAGAGCCTTGAGTTTTATTTTTAATTTATTTTTTTAAACAACTTTCATTCATTTTTTTCATAATATAGGCTTTCTCCCCTCAGGTGCAGTAACCATAGTTTTGCCACCACCAAAGTGTCCACAGTCACCTATCACTTTCTACCTGCTCTCCTCCTCACTCCACATCTGTGCTCTTCAACATCCCCCCGTCCCACCCCACCACACACACCAAAAGTCTCAGATCTGTGATCTGCTTTGAAGAGTCATTCTTAGTTTTTCATTATCATTGTCTGATCCTTTGTTAATTTCATTGAGTTTGAAAAGGTATTCTGGAGTTTGGTAATGATAAGCATCTATAGAGTACTCTTTCTAAAATCTTTATCAGGAGACTGGTGATTATATTACTCACCTAATTGCATCATTGGTCTCTGAAACAGCTCTCAGGTAGTCTTTCAAATAGTAATAATTAAAGCAGTATTTCCGAATCCTATAACCTCGCCAATGTCTCTGAATCTATGGAAGAAAATACAAAATATTTTTAGTAAAAACATGAATAGCTCTCAAGATCAAGGTAATGAGGGATAATAACTAATATCAAATAAAATCTTACACTTTCCACTAATATCACAGTATATAGTTGCCAATGTAGGTTGCATTAATTTATTATACTCGATTAGAAAAATGAAAACATACTTATAGGTTGTTATAAATTATATTAAAATAACTAATTGTTTAAAAAAAGAAACAATTATAATTCTTTCACAAATGCTAGATTTGAAATTAACTATTGAAAGATTAAAAATTTGCCTTACCAATTCCCACCACTTCCACTTCCCTCCTAACCATATGGGTTTTTTCTTTATTGTAACCTTGAAGAGTATATTTAGTCTCACTGAAATAACATTTTTAAGTGGACTTTTTCAATTCAGCCATATTCAAAATCTTTAAACATAACATTGATTCATATTTTTAATATAAAATTTGAAGACTTCCTCAATAATAAAAATAATAGCTAACATTTTCAGAGTTATTACTTTGTGAGAAGCACCATCCTAACAGTTTGGTTTGTATTATGCATTTAGTCTTTAATACACTCTTGGGAGAGTTGAACTCTTACGTCTTATTTACAGAAAAACAAAACAAAACAAAAACAACAACAACACTTAAAAGAAAAGTTGTGTAGTTTTCCCAGTATTACATGGCTAAGATACTGGTGATGATCCAGGCAGTAAATCCAGCCTTCAAGAACCCATTCTTCAGACCATTCTCCAAACAAAAGGAACTGCAATTTTCAACAAATGATGATACTCATGAAGGTATCTGTTTTTTTTCTGTTTCCTGCCACAATGCTGACATTAGAATTTATTTTATTTTTACCAGAACATATAATAAATGTGTTTTCATATAGATGTGAAGACTGTTGGTGTCCAAAAAAGGTAGTTAAATGGGATTAAGATGTCACTGGACATGAGTATCAGCAAGTCTTAAGGTTTCTCTTAATGTTTTGTTAATATGACAGCCATTAGAAAATGCTAAAAAAATAACAAGGATGATATTAATTTAGTAGGAAAAAATTCTATTTCTTTAAAGGGGCAGAGGAAGAAGAAATACCAAAATTTAGAAAATGTTAACTTAGTTTTGCATACAGATTTAACTTCATTCCCTAAAGTTTTCTAGCAATTTAGATATATTTATGAGCTATTCACATATTATGAAAGAATTTCTTTTTGGAGACTCCTGAAGTTCCTCCTATGGTCTTTTGTTAGCTAGGCTAAGAAATACAAATCATTGACAAAGATTTTTTAATAAGAAATAATAGCTAATATATTGGTATTATCCCAATGTAACTTGAATGCTAAATCCACAAGAAATAAATAGGAAGTACGTTTTACTTAGATTCTGAACTTTTCCTTTTTCTATTTTAAAATACATTAAAGGTTTTAACATTTTTAAAAGGTTAAAATATATTAATCTTTTTAAACCTCTGTTTTTAAAAGTATTTTATAATCTGAGATGTGAAGACTTTATGTTCACAGCATTATTTATAATCGTCAATAAATGGAATCAATCCAAATGCCCACCGGTAGATAAATGGATTAAAAAAATATGGTATATCTAGTCAGTGGAATACTACTAGCTACTGAAATAGATGACATAGTGCGTTTTGGGATACTGGAGATGATCTTGAGGTGATTATGCTAAGTGAAGTAAGTCAGAAAGTGAAAGTTACTGGATATGCCACTCATTTTGGGATGTAAATAACCAAAGAAAGCAAGTGAGGAAAACACAACAAAAATAACTCTAAACTCTGTGAAAACTATTGTGGTTATTAGAGTGGGGGTGGGGAGTGAAGAGGATTCCAATAGGATAAGTGATAGTGCATTAGCCATGGAGCATGCTGGAGGGGAATGAAGCATGTGCATGTGTTGAGGTGTGAACTGGCAGTATGACCAGTATGTAACTTTGTAAATGAGTGACAAATCAACAAAACTGGATGAAAAAAAAAAAGATTTTGAGGGGTGCTCTAATTAATCTCCTAGTAAGAGAAAGAACAAAATAACTGAAGATTTGTGAAAGCTTAAAAGAATAATTACAACAGACATAACAATTTTAGCAAGTAAAACAGAGCACAATAAATAGCAAGTTAATGTAACAAAACCATAGACTGTGTCTTTCAAGTTATTTTTCCAATGACTTTATTTTAGAGATTAATTCTTTAAATTAAAAGCAAATTGATTTTTCTAAATATATAGACTCCAGTTAGAAGCTACCGCCTTCTAACTTGACCAAAACCATACTGTTACTGACAAAAAAAGAGGAATTGATACACACCATTTTCCTAAAAAAAAAAAAAAATAGTCAATTGAAATATGTATAAATACACAGATCATACACACAAATGAATATTTTTCTGGCTTTTCTAATTTGATCATTACAGCACCATTCTGAGGTAGGGATTAGTATTAGCTTCACTGGATAGAGAGGAACTTGATAGGGATTAAATAATTGCCTAAGGTCATATAGTTGGTTGAATGGCTTCAACTATTTCAACATAGTACTTTTATTGCAAGTACAGTAATAATTGTCTTAAAGCAGAGAACACTTGAAACAAAAGTATTGACAGAAAACCCATCATACCAGAGATAAAAGTGACTCAGGGAAGCACAGGAAAAATATTAGTATATCAGATAGTGTTAAAGAAGGTACTACCTATTAAAGGTACTACATTATTAAAATTCTACATAAAGCAAGCTTAAATCTGCCAGAAAACATAAAAATGCATGTTGTTATACTGAGGAGGAAAGAGAGGAGATGGGAACATATGAATAGGTTATGCCAGAACAAAGAGGATGCCTATTTTGAGCACAGAATTCAGAAAGGCCAAATTGAAATTGGCTGGAAATCTGGGCCTATAGAAAGGCAAATGTATGACCTCTTCTTTCTCCAAACTGTGAAACCACTAGACACAGCATCACCCAACTCAGGGAGTCTGTCTCGGTATTCCCAGGGAACTTTTTGATACACTAACACCCTAGCCATTCTCCTGAAGACAGGCTTAAATTCCTTTCCAACACAAATCCTTTTGTTCACAATTGGGCATTTAAGGGAATAATAATTAACTGGTGGTCAAGTTAAAAAGACAACAAATTTAAACTCATCCCTTTTAAAAAATGACTCATCTTTATTGTTTTGTTGTTTTCTGAGTTTAAAAAATAATAATAAAAAAACCAACTAGAAGAAGCCTGGCATTGGGTTAAGTGAAGGCTCTGACCTCCAGTACAGGACCTAAACTTTACATGCCAGTGTTATGCTTATTTAATTCTTACAATAACTTGGTGTCTATGGCATGGTATCCATGTTAAAAATGAAGGAACTGAAGTCTACTAACATGATCAAGGTCATATAGTCAGTAAAAGAGTAAATGACAAGAGTAGTATGCAAGCCTGATTCTTCTGCGACAGAGCTCTTTCCACTAAGACATCTCATGAATATAGTTATACAGAGAAAGAGTGTGCAGAGTAATCTTTAATTTAAAAGATACCAATTTCTTACCTTATCAGGAGCCCTGCTTAACCAATATCTAATTAATATAAGATATAGTAGCTGAGACCTACCTAACTTCTTTTCATAAGAACAAGTGACATCTTAGATTTTGCCTAAACTTCCTATTGATATCCCAGAACTAGTGGAGAACCTTTCACTTATAAAAAAAAAAATCTGCTTTTAAGAGGCTACATGGCTTTTATAATAACATTTCTATTGAATTTCAAGGTGAATGGGTTATAACTTCCACCCCCCTCCAAAAAAGGACTACTATTCATGTCCTTCAAAGTAATTAGCAACTTTCAGAAGAGAACGGTATAAAACAATTATTGTCATTGATCAGCTCTGAATAGATAATTTTAAACAAAGTCATTGTGTGCTCAGCAGATTACAGCTTGTTAACGGGCAAGTTCTAAATGACCTCTTAAGCTAGTCAAATCAATGATGCATATTCCTCATTAAGTAACATCAAAATGTAAGTGGTCTTATAAATAATGTTTATTTTAAGCACTAAAACAAATGGTAAAACCTTGATCTATCAAAACCATCTGCTCATAGAAAAGATTTTCCTTCCATTGTATTTACTTTATTCCTCAAAATTCATAGTAATTTTACTGCTATCAAAAGAGAGGGAAAAATAATGGTTTCTCACCTAAAATTAAGATGAAGACTTGCAAAATAAATTCATTAAAAATAACCTACTTAGTGTCAGTGTTCCAGATACATATGCCAGCATAGAAATAAAATTAAGTCATCTATAACCATTCTTTCGTGAAGTAGAAAGCTCAACATTTCAAAAGACTATACAGTGAGCATAGAATGGTAGATTTATTACGTTTTCAAAGACGGGATGTTTAAACATAGAAACATCCATGTTTTCAGTACAGGTATAATTGAACTACAATGTTAAACACACATACCACACATATGACTAACTGAAGACATAAATGAATGAAAATCTTTAGTCTTAACTAGCAGAAATTCTGGAGAAGTATTCCACATGCAGTTTCTTCTCTTTAAGATTCTCCCCAACCCTCCTCCACACATACACACACACACACACACACACACACACACACACACACACACTGTACCTGACTTAATACTTCTTTTCTCTAAAAATCTATGTAACCATTTCATAATGATATCGGTACTAGAAGTAGCAAAAGGGGAGAAGAACTTTTCTTTTGCATAGTGATGGAACATTTATCTATCATCAGGCAAAAGCTCAGGTTGCCTAGATGCTTACTTCTTAGAATGACATTATGGGAGTCTTCTTCTCCATGCATAAGACACAGTCTTACTCATTTTTTTTTATTCCTAGGACCTAATATAAGATCTATAAGAGAAATGAATTAATTTACCTGAGTTAATTTATCTATTTATCTCTACCTAATCCTGGAGTCATTATTTTAAGCATAAATTCTTCATAATATTATAAATATGAAAATAGGAATATAAATAGTTTA